TGTATTGTGAATCCTGCAAACAATAAAAAGTAAAATATTATTCTTGCATCGTTAATAGGAATCAGCAATTTTCAGACCTTTCATTGCTTATTTCAGTCAAAATATCAGTTTGTGTAAATAGCACCTGTGGAAAAAAAAAGTGTGATGTTTATTAGATTTTTTTTCTTTTTTAAAAATGAAATTGTAAAAATGTATAGTCACCATTTTCCATTATTTGACTTCCTTATTTGAATTTGAGAAGGAGGTGGTTAACATAATAAAGGGTGTATTTAGATCTATATTTGGAGAATATACTAGATAAACTGAAGTTAAGAATATATCTGCATATTGGTCAAGGAGGACATATCTGCATTTCTGATTTTTTCAAAAGACTGATATTTGATGAGAAATTAATATTTACAAACTGTATTCATTTTAAAGATTGCTCCCACATCTGATAGTGATTTTGGACGATATAATTGTACAGCAACAAACAGAATAGGAACAAGATATCAGGAGTATACACTTGGTCAAGCTGGTAAGTTAAAAAGTTGTTTCCTTTCCTTTTCTTTATTTTTTTTCCTATTAATCAAAATTAAGTTCAGACATAGTAATTCCAATGGAATGTTTGTAGTTAATTTTAGTTCTTTAAAAGTTGAGTTGCGATATAAAGTAAAATAAACCAGTTCCCTCAGAATATGAATCTTCTTTGGATTTAATTTTAAGGCCTTCTGAAATTTGAAAAGTGAAATTAGTCTAACTTTTTTTCCTTTGCCCTTGCTACATACTCTGTTTGTAACTGTATTTTTATTACTTCAGTGGAGAGGTATGGTTTACAGGCAGTAAAAATAAGAAAGAACTAAGAAAGTCTTTTTTCCTTTTTCTCCCTGGTATTTTCTTGATAAACGAAGTATGACAAAACACTGAAATACTTCAGCAAAGAATTTCTATCTTCATTTGCACTTTCAGTTATTTAAAAGCAGAATTTGACCCAGACTGGTAGATTGAATTAATTTAAGCTCTGAGATGTTCCACAACCAATTGTTACAGAATTTCTGAATATTTTTAGGTCCATCTATTGTTGTTGAGGCAAATATAAAACCATGACTGTTTGTTCTTTGGCAGAAATAGCTATTAACTCAAAGTAAATGAAAGTTTCTTAGCATTTCTTTCAATTTTCTTTTCTTGTGTAATGGACTAATGTTGGTTCAGCAAGCTTTGAGGTCTCCCAACATTTGAATCTGCATACTTAATGATGCGAATTGTTTCAGCTTTAATGACATCTATGGAGTTATAATGCAGTTTACAGTACAAAAGGTACAGCCATACTGAAAGTTATGCACCCTTTGTGGTGCATTGTTATGGACCATGTTCATCATGTAACTTTCAGGTCATACCATACTGCCATACTGGCTGATACACATTGAAAGGGACAGGTAGAAATAAGGTCTTGTATAATTTGTTTTTAAAATAGGACTTGTGTATTTTTTATGATCTTGAATGTTTCAACTGTAACTTTTCAGAGACGTACTAGGAAGACTTTCGAAGGTGCATTGCTGAAATGTGCACATCCAATCATAGGGAGGCTCTCTTACCCAGCCTGGTGTTTTAATTTTTATAGTTTTGCTCAGTAGGGGAATTATTTTCTTTTGGTGTCTCAGGAGTTATAAAGAACAGTTATTTGTTAACAAAGTTGTACACAGCATTTATAGTTTTTCCCATTACCTCTATAGGATGGATTACTACCACACACTTTTGTCATGAACACTATCCTATTTTTTTTTTCTTTGAACGGTGATCAAAAGAGCTAAGCATAGGAAAATGTGGGTTTCTGTTGAGAAATAGCAGATTTCTCTGTGGCACAATTTTAATTAATCCAGAAAATCCATTGCCCTTCATTTTACGACTTTTTTAGGGTATTAGCTGTGTTGCAAATCTGATCTTCCTTTGATAGCTATATGCGACAAATGAGAAATACGTTACCTCTTGCTTTTGCATGTAACAATACTTAGACCCATCTAAGTCCTAATTTCATACAATACGTTCTTTGCTTTCCACCTTACAAAAATCTTCCCAATATAGGGACTTACACAATCTAATTTATACATAAAATAATTTTTAATTTTTGTTAACAAAAATTCCAGAAGAGAACAATTTGTAGAATCTTCAGTCATGTTCATGATCATTTACCTAGTTAATCCCATTTATTTCAATGGAATTACTTGAATAATTGAGTTTCTGTAGTGGGTCTAAAGTTATGACTGTAGCAGCTCGTTAGTACTATATGTGACATTAAACAGGAAAAAACAATATTCCCCATGATGTTCAGAATTGAAATAGTGATAGAAAAGCTTTGAACTTTAAGGAAAAATGCAATTAATTTCTATACCAACTATTCTGTCTCTAAAAAAATCTCAAGACTTGTAGGAAGTTAGCATTGATTTGAATAAGTAAACTATATCTATTACGTGTATATTACTTTTGCCATCATTTAATTTTGGAAGTAGATTTAGCCCGCAATCTCAGGACTTGATTGTCTAAATACTCATGACTTGCGTAGGATTTACAGAGTTAAATTAAATTCATGGAACAAAATGACTGCACATAACCCTCTGATTTTTGTCATTTACATCTATTTCTCCTCAGTAGCATGCTTTCTCTTTAGGGCAAGACGTGCATCCCTTGATTCAACAGCAGCACTGGTTCTGCCTGTCCTGCTGCGCTAGATGCTATTCTTGTCCCTGCAGTAACTTCTCTGAGATTTGTTACATGTGAGGCTTCACTAGAAGGAAAAAGCAGTAGAAGTACAATGTGACAGCTGCTACAAAAATTCCCCAATTTCTCTCAAAAACAGAAGACTTGCCACTAGAAGTCTATCTTAAAGCCATGAACATAAATTACAGGAAAGGGAAGGAAAAAATCCTACTCATCTCCCTCTGGTGTCTTACCTCTCAAGACAGAAAAAGATGAGAAAAGAGAACAATTATGTCAATGAAATCAAAGAAACTCGAGTTGTGGTTATTGCTGTACACTTTTTCATAAAGATGTGCGTACACATGAGAGCATCTCAGCAGATATTCTATATCTGCTGATTTTTCTCTTAGATTTGCAAACCAAGACAAATCATGATACTGCATGATTATTTTAGCTATGTATTTCTCTCCTGCTTTTACAAAGAATTAATTATTTTTATTACAAAGTAATTCTCATATTTGAGTGAAAAAGGACATGATATTTTGATTTTGCATTATATTCTCATGTGAGAGCCCCTTGAAATGCAAATGAGAGCAAATAACTCCATACAACATATAATCCTGTTTTAGCTTTTTAATATGACTATATCAGAGATGTCACTGATGGCATTTTTTCAAACAGCTCACTATTCTCTACTTTTGCAACAGTTTGCTTAACATTTTTCAGTCAATTCTTCAGAAAACTCAAAAAAAAAAGTATTGGAGTTATAAGCATAAAAAGGTAAATCAGAGTATGTATAGTGAATATGTAATGAATAAAGAATTATGAGAAGTTATGTAGAGCATGAGCTATATATGGACATCCTATATAATGACACAAAATGCAGAAAATAGACACACTCAAATTTTGTAGTAATGATAATGAATATAAGCCATTTGTAGTGTAGTATTTATGTGTGTCTGGAAAGACTGAGTTTGGGTGTGTCAGGGCTCCATTATGCTAGGCACTACTTACAGTAGTGTAATGCATAATATTTAGGAACCTGAAAGATTAACATTTTTAGCATTTGCATCTAAATAGACTTTTTGGGGGAAAAAAAACCCAGCAAATAACAAATGTAGTTAACTGCAACAATTAAGCTAGCATCAGCTGGAAATGAAAAACAACCAGGGAGATGAAGGATAAAACCATCGTGATAATTACAGGTATAAAATGTCAAATGCAGCTGTCTTCCTAGTTTTACTACCTCTGTTGTTTTACTTTGGTAGATTAGGAAGCCCTAATGATTGGTATTTTCTACATTAAATCCTCATAAAATATTTTCATTCATTTCAATACAGCCTGGATTTCCTTCTGGCTTTGATAGTAAATACTAATGCTGGGGTGTAGCATACTTTCACAATGGCTCTGTCAGGGAAAAAATAGATACTATTTCTAGCTGGCAGACAGTATTAAGCAAAGTATGTCACTACGGTAAATTTTACAAATAATGATCATTTTACTAAATAGTTTTCTCTTAAAATTCTGCAGGAATGACTTGTTGCTTCATGTTTTGTTCCATTTTTCTGCTTTGCTAGTTTTCAGCAGAATCAAACTACCCTTTTTTTTTAATTTACTGCTAGGTAAAAAGTGATCGTACTGTCACAATGCCATTATCTTTATTTCTGTTGCTCTCTTTAAGACATTAGCCTTATTGATGATAAGATTTCTTTCAGAATTTAGGTGCAATTTGCAACCATACCATTTTGTTTGACAGGAAAACTATATCTGTTCACTCAAATTATACAAAGCTACTGAATCAGTCTGGATTCCAGACACTTTCATTTAAACCTTTCAAAACAATTAAAAGAACTGCAGCCTATTTAAGGTTTCATATTGATAGGTGCTGGTCGTTACTGGTAAATGCTGAGAAACTTCAGCACTTTTGAAAGCTTAATCAGATGTGCTCACCCCTTGACTTGTGGTGATCAACTCTTGAAAATACCATGTGGTTGACATCCTCTGTTTTTATTGCTTAAGCATTTGAATTGCTGTGTAAGTAACATGTAGAATGTGAAAAAAACCACACTCTCTTTCATTTCTTGCCGCTGCAAATTAATTACTTCATGTCACAACCACAACCTTTATTTTAGAAGTCTACTTACACTCCATTTTTAATCTATGACAGGCTTAGGCTTTGGCAAGCTAGGTGAGCTTGGCAGATTGTCCCAGTGGCTTTCATAGCCTGAGGCGAGCACAGATATTCCTAGATTTGCCCAGATCTAGTTTAGTCATAGTTTATCTGAAATATCAGTGTGCAGGGAGATGATGTTAACTAGCAAAGCATTTTTGCCTTTTTGCTGAGATCTCAGTGTCATTTAAATGTTTTTGCATAGATAAGTAGAAAATTGTATGGTCATCAGTAGTTTAGGACTATGTTGTTGGAATCTTAAAATGGTAAATGTTAAGGGTAAGAGAGCTAAACTGGATTTTTCAAGTAAATTTTCTACTTAAATATTAATGTGTACTTTGCATATAGCAGTGTACAGCTGGACTGAATCCAGAGCCTCTAAAAAGTAGACCGTCTCTAAGGCTCTCATGGCCTTACTCATCCTAGACTTCACTTTCCCCTTCTTTCTTCTGTTCTAGGATGGCAAAAGGGTTAAAAGTTCAGATAAAGAGTCTGATTCACCTTTTTTGCCACAGTCTTTGCACCTAAAAGGATCCTTCCATTTTTGATGAAAGGTTCTGATCTCACTACATCATGCCTGGAACTGCAGCTAAGCACAGAGACTTCCAGTAACTAAGTGTTAATAGGATCAACTGCTGGCAGAAACTGTACTGATAGGCAATTAATATAGTTTA